AGGGGATGGAGGTGGTGGTGCCAGCCTTGATGGGGAAGGGGCCCTGGGGCTTGGGTGGGAGGGCGAGGCCGATGAGAGGGATGCTGTAATCACCACCAAGTGGGGAGCAGAGCTGCAGCGTGGCCCTGGCTTCACCCAGCTGGCAGGGCTCGAAGGTCACCTCCACGCTCAGCTCCGAGCCCCTGGGGCTGGCAGGGGCCGCGCCGATGGTTTTCTCTGTCTGGAAGTCAGGACAACTTGTCTGCACAGGGGAGAAAAGAGACCATGGAGGGGGTGGGTCACAAAAGCTGACTCAGTACCTCAGGAAGAAACGAATGGTCCCCTGCCATCACACTGGTCGTGGTTCCTGTCCCCACGTCTGTCCCACCGTCAGCATTCCCCTACTGAACGGGCGTGAGAACTGTCCAAAGGTGCCAACCAGGGACAACCCTGCACCCAACCCCCAAGAGGCCTTTACTGGGCTGTAAGGTGGAAGTCCAGGCACCACGGAGCCTGCAAAAGCAGCTCCAACGAGGGCAGCAGAAGGGGGTCTGCAAGGGAGGACAGCCCTGCTGGGGGCAAGCCCAGCACTGGTGGGAAGACCCCTGGGCTCACAGGGCCACGCTGGCGATGCCAGACCAAGCCAGAGGGGCTGGACCCCTTGGTGGAGAGGGCTGGTGCTGGCCAGAGGAGCTGCCTCCCAGCCTAGCAGCCCAGGCTCACCTGGAGGAGGTACTCAGTCTTCTGCCGGGCATAGTTCATTATTTTTGTGGTGATGGTCTGACTAGAGCCCAGTGTGGTGCAGAAGTAGAGGGGCTTCTCTGGCCTGCTCATGAGGGCTTTCAGTTGCAGGTTGTAGTAGAAAGAGCCCAAGTCACTGCTCTGGAGCACCAGGCGCCCGGTGCTTTCACCCACTTTCAGGGGCTGGTACTCAAGTACAAGATCAGCCTAGGAGGAATGAGGGGAAAAGCCACTGAATCAGGCAGAGACATCAAAGGCAGGTCCCAGGATTAGGGAAATCGTTCCCTGGTCTGCTCATGCAGCGCTGGAAGGCTGGGCTGCCTTCCTTGTTCCGTCTCCCTCTCTCTGGGGCACAGCCTTGCTGCATCTAGGGGGACACTTCACTTGGGGGACAGTCCCCAAGGGCTGAGAGTCCTCCAGCACTATCCCAGAAGCTTCCCACGGTAAAATGCCCCTCTACTGCCTCAGGGCGCACACCATGGCCTATCAATCCAGACTGCAGGCACCCTGCGGCGGGCGGAGGCATGAAAAACGGCAGCCCCGTGGTGTGGGGGGGAGCAATCCCCCGCAGCCACTCTAAACTGAAAAGACACACTAAATAAAGAGCATGTGGCACAAGGACCTGCCATGTGAGGCCTGATGGCAGCATATCAGAAGGGGTAGCAGAGCAGACTCCACCAGCACAGGATGATTCCCACTAGGGATATTCTCACACACTGCTTCCCCTCTAGATTATCAGCAGATGGGAGCTGCCACCCTTGGAAAGAAGCCCCATAGGGTTCGTTCAGGGCATCACCCTTCAAGAGCACCCCCTCCCAGAAAGGCTGAAGTGAGAGTGTACTGGAGGAGCTTTGTACCTACCTCCGACTGTGCAGGAACAGTGAACTGTGGGGGAACACTGACTTCAGGTACTTTGCAGTCTATGGCAAACGTCACCGGGATGGACAGAGGGTTGTCCACCTTGACGGTGGATGACACTCTCTGCCGAACAGCAGTGGTCATTTCAACAGTGCTGATGGGTTCTGAAGGGGTGGCCTTGTAAGTCACCATGTAGAACAAGTATTCCCCTGTCACCTCGTTGAGGAAGGTCACCTGAATCAGAATAAAAAGGAAGGGTTGGTCATTCTGCACGTAAAAATATACCAGGTGTGCTAAGCCAGCCCAAAGAGCCCGCCAAGCGCAGCGCCCTGGTTTCAAGAATAGCTATGAGCAGCCACAGAGGAAGAGTGCAAGACAGGGGAAAGCATGTGTAGTACTTCACAGAACCCTAGAATGGTCTGCGTTTGAGGGGACATTAAAGATCATCTAGCTCCCATCCCCCTGGCACAGAACCTTCCACTAGATCAGGTTGCTCAAAGCCTTGTCTAACGTGGCGTTAAAACACTGCCAGGGATGGGGCATCCACAGCTTCTCTGGGCCATGTGTTCCAGCGTCTCAGCACCAGGACAGTGAAGAACTTCTTCCCAATATCCAATCTAAATCTCTCCTCTATCAGTTTAAAGCCACTCCCCCTTGTCCTATCCCTACATACCCTTCTACAAAGCTGCTCCGTAACTTTCTTTTTGGCCCTTTTAGGTACTGGAAATCTTCTCTAAGGTGACCCCAGAGCCTTCTCCCAGCAAAACAAGCCCAGCTTCCACAGCCCTTCCTCATAGGAGAGGTGCTCCAGCCCTCTGATCATCTTTCGTGGCCTCCTCTGGACTCGCTCAAGCAGGTTCACCTCCTCCTTATGCTGGTTGCAGAGCTGGACACAGTACTCCAGGTGGGGTCTCACCAGAGCAGAGGGGGAGAATCACCTCCGTTGACCTGCTGCTCATGCTCTGGGGATGTAGCCCAGCACATGGGGACGGGGTGGTTCTGGGCTCAAATGCACACTGTTGGCTCATGTTGAGGGTTCAGCTTCTTGTCAACCATCACCCTCAAGTTCTACTTTCTACCTAATGGTCTCCTGATTACCCATTGCTTCCAGCTCACCAATGTCCTGACCCACCTGTACTCAGCAGCCCACAGTGAGACCCTCACAGACACTATTGTGTGAGGGGGTGTGTGGAGAGGTGCCTGCTCTTTAGTACTCACCTAGGACACCTAGGAGGCATGTCGAAGTATGAAAACAGGCATGTACCTTCTTGGTGAGCCAAGAGCTCCTTGAAGGACCTCACAGTCTGATGTCCGCACTTACCACTGCGTTAATAACTACTTCTTTGTAGGAGAGGAATGTGAGCTGGTAGTCCTTCTTGGCAGAGCCTGGCACATCAATGTATTCCAGCCCCTGCAGCACAAAACTGTTTTCCAGCTTTTCTGGTTTGAGTATGTCTATCACCACCAGGAACCTGTGGGTGAGAGGACACAGTGAAGGTCAATGGGAGGGACTCCCATAGGTACAACACTGCCCCTCTCATCCTCAGTGCCTCAGGAAGAGAGCCAGCTCTTATCCACCTTGGAGGCAAGGCCTCCAGAATGGGTCTGTGTAGGCAGAACATGGGTAGTGTGTAGGCACCTATGGCCAAAAACGGCCAAGGAGAGCAAAAAGCTTTCAGGAAGTATATTCCAGGCAGTTGAAGGTTTCTTCCTTGTGCTGCTGCAGGGATTGGTGATGGGACGAGACTTCCTGGGCTGGACTCACCTCTGTGGTCTGTGTAGCCAGTTGGAGACAGGGATGAGCTCAGTGTGGGAAGTTCTACACGGCACCTGCCGGGAAATGACTCCTGAACACTCCGGGGCTTCAGCAGTTCCTTGCAGGCAGTAGTACAAGCCCATCCCATCTGGCAATGGGAAGAAGATGGAGC